GTTGTCATAGAAGCCAATGTTATTGGTTTTGTTATTGGAAATAAACCAAGTTGCTTAGAGCTGTCACTTTTCATTTGCTTTGGATTTTTTTAACAATTTTTAAAGGATATTCAAAGGACTAAAAATGTGGATTTTTAAACAATTTTTAAAGGATATTCAAAGGACTAAAAATGTGGATTTTTTAAACAATTTTTAAAGGACTAGAAATTTGGATTTTTTAAAAAATATTTTAAAGGATATTTAAAGGACCATAAACGTGGATTTTTTAAAGGACTATAAACGTGGATTTTTTTAAAGATTTTTTAAAGGACTATAAACGTGGATTTTTTAAAGATTTTTTAAAGGACTATAAACGTGGATTTTTTTAAGATTCTTTAAAGGACTATAAATGTGGATTTTTTAAAGATTTTTTAAAGGACTATAAACGTGGATTTTTTTAAGATTCTTTAAAGGACTATAAATGTGGATTTTTTAAAGATTTTTTAAAGGACTATAAACGTGGATTTTTTAAAGGACTATAAACGTGGATTTTTTTAAGATTTTTTAAAGGACTATAAACGTGGATTTTTTTAAGATTTTTTAAAGGACTATAAACGTGGAATTTTTTAATGGTTTTTAAAGGACTATAAACGTGGATTTTTTTAATGGTTTTTAAAGGACTATAAACGTGGATTTTTTTAAGATTTTTTAAAGGACTATAAATGTGGATTTTTTAAGGATTTTTTAAAGAATTTTTAAAGGACCATAAACCATAAATCTGCAAAGCAGCTTTATGAGTAAGTTCACAATAAAAAAGTGTACTTATGCTATCTCCGGCAACTCCAGTGGGTTGCTGAAATCTCTAAGAGCTTTTCTCGTGACCTTTTCTGAGCGTTCTTCGTCCAACAACACAAAAACTACCACTACTGATGCCATCTTACTTTATTTATAGGGACTTATTCCTTTTTTTATTTACTTTACTTTTACTGATATATCAATGACAAATAAACAAACAACACATGTAAACAACAACAGCTGTTTCGACCATTGGTTTTATTTACATTCGAAATTGACAAAACCAACTTGGTTTCATGACACCAAATGAAACCAACATTGGTTTACAAAAACGACAATAAGCAAAACCGACATGGTTTCTGTGACAACCCTGTATATGAAGAATTTTATACCTGCTTACGAAATTTTTTGTTGTAGTACCCATTACGAACTTCAAATACGAAATTTGTTACAATTCCGATGAATAATGTCGCTGTAATCATTAAAATACCGAGTATCGGGATGTACCGTCATATGGGGGCTATACGAAGACGTGGACATGGATACAAAAATTGTTGTCATAGCACTCATTACGAACTTCAAATACGAAATATTGAAATAATTGTGATAAATAATGTCGCTAAAATCATGAAAATACCGAATATCGGGAGGTACCGTTTTAATAGGAGCTATACGAAGTGGACCTGCATACGTATTTTTTTTCCATAGGTTGTAGTAACCTTTAAGATCTCCCAATACGAAGTTTTAAACGATTCCGATGAAAAATGTTGCTGATATCATCAAAATACTGAATATGGGGAGGTACCGTTATATGGGGGCTATTCGAAAACGTAGACCTGCATACAAAATTTTTTATCATAGGCTGTAATACCCATTACGAACTTTAAATATGAAATTTTAAATAATTCCGGTAAATAATGTCGCTGAAATCAAGAAAATACTGAATAGCGGGAGGTACCGTTACATGAGGGTCCTACAAAAACGTGGACCGACACGACCCATTTACGAACTTAACCTGCCTACTGGTAAACTATGTATGTGTTCAAATTTTAGCCTTGTATCCTAATTCGTGATAGCGTGATTACAACAGACAGACAGACGGGCGGACATCGCTAGATGATCTTAAAATTTTACGCTGATCGAGAATAAATATACTTTGTAGGGTCTATTATGAATATTTCGAGGAGTTGCAAGCGGAATGACAAAGTTTATATACTCTCGAACCTACCTATTTTTTACCTATTTATTTTTTTTAAAATTCAAATTTATAGCCCTGATGGTCTTTGAAAAAATATAGCTTAAAAATCAACGTTTCTAGCCCTGATAATCCACTATTTCAAATTGGATGGTACCTCAAAATATGTTATTTGAAAATGCACGTTTATAGCCTTGATGGTCCTCAAAAAATATGCTTAAAATATCCACGTTTCTGGCTTTGATGGTCGTTGATAAAATATTCTTTAAATATCCAGGATTCTATCTCTGATTATCCCTCAAAAAGTATTCTTTAAAAATCCACGTTTCTGGGCCTGGCGGTCTTCAAAATAATTTATTAAAAATACACGTTTCTCGACCTGACGGACTTAAAAAAAAATCTTTAAAAATACAAGTTTCCGGCCCATAAATCAACGTTTTTGGTCCGGACGAACTTCGAATAAATATTCTTTAAAAGTCCAAATTTCTAGCCCTGATGGTCCGTCAATTTTTTTTAAATCCACGTTTTGATCCTGACGATGTTCGAAAAAAATATTCTTTAAAAATCCAAATTTCTAACCCTGATGGTCCGACAAAAATGTTCTTTAAAAATCAAAATTTCTAGCCCTGATGGTCCGACAAAAAATGTTCTAGTCCTGATGGTCCGTCAAAAAATTTTCTTTAAATCCACGTTTTGATCCTGACGATGTTCGAAAAAAATATTCTTTAAAAATCCAAATTTCTAACCCTGATGGTCCGACAAAAAATTTTCTTTAAAAATCCACGTTTCTGTAGCTGACGATCTTCGATATTTTTTTTTTTTAAATCCACATTTCTAGACCTGATGGTCCGTCAAAAAATATGGCAATCTTCGAAAAAATTTTCTTTAAAAATCCACGTTTCTGGTCCTAACAAACTTCGAAAAAATGTTCTTTAAAAATCCAAATTTCTAGCCCGATGGTCCGACAAAAAATTTTCTTTAAAAATCCAAATTTCTAGCCCTGATGGTCCGACAAAAAATTTTCTTTAAAAATCCACGTTTCTGGACCTGACGATCTTCGATTTTTTTTTTAAATCCACATTTCTAAACCTGATGGTCCGTCAAAAAATATTCTTTAAAAATCCACGTTTCTAGCCCTGATAATCCACTTGATGAGGATGGTACCTCAAAATATGTTATTTGAAATTCACGTTTCTGGCCCTGACGGTCCTCAAAAAATTTTCTTTACAAATCCTAGTTTCTAGCTTTGATAATCTTTCAAAGAAAATTTCTTTAAAAATCCACGTTTCAAACTCCGATGGTCTTTGAAAAAATATTCTTTAAAAATTCAAGTTTCTAGCTTCGATGGTTTTTGAAAAAAATATTCTATGGAAATTCAAGTTTTTAAGCTCTGATGCTCTTTGAAAAATTTCACGTTTTTAGCTCAGATGGTCCTTCAAAAAATATTCTTTAAAAATCCACATTTCTAGCTATGATGGCCTTTAAAAAAATTCTTTAAAAATCCACGTTTCTAGCTTGGATTGTCCCTCAAAAAATATTCTATGAAAATCCACGTTCAAAGCACTGATGGTAGTTGAAAAATATTCTTAAGATATCCAAGATGGTCCTTCTTAAAAATCCAGATTTAGGGTCTATATGGCCCTGCAAAAACAATTCTCGAAAAATGAGACCTGACAATGATGTTGCTTCTTAAAATATTCTTCAAAGATCCACGTCCATTTTATCCAGAAAAAATATTACTTTAAAATACACGTTTATGATCCTTATGGTCCATCTTAAAATATAATTTAAAAGTTCGGGGTTATAGCCGTCATGGTCCTTAAGACGTTTTTCTTTAAAACTTCACGTTTATAGCCTTGATAGCCTTTCTTTAAATACTTTTTAAAAACCCATAGTTATAGCCCAAATGGACCCTGATTTTTTTAATGCAGACTTACAGCTCTGATGGTCCTCCTTAGTTTATTCTCTAAAAAATCTGACGGCCCTTTTAAAACCATTTTAGCTTAGATTTTTTTTTTTAAATATTCTATGGAAATTCAAGTTTCTAAGCTCTGATGCTCTTTGAAAAAATCCACGTTTCCAGCTCTGATGCTCTTTGAAAAATATTCTTTAAAAATCGACGTTTCTAGCTATGATGGCCTTTGAAAAATATACTTAAAAATCTTTGTTTCTAGCTTTGATGGTCTTTAAAAAAATGCAGACATACAGTTCTGATGTTCCCCCTTAACATATTCTATAAAAAATCCGACGGCTCTTTTAAAACTATTCTTTGAAAAAATCGCATTTGTAGCGCTGATGGTCCCTCCAAATATATTCTTTAAAACTTTTTTTAGAGCCCTCGAAAAATATGCATAATAACCTTAAAATTTTAGGCACATGGCTCTAATGTACCTTCTTAAAATATCATCATTTCAAGCCCTTGTTGGCTTGAATGATTTGGGTAATTATTTTGACTTTAGGCAGAAGTATGCTTAGTCCTGGTATGTAGTACAATTACTATTCCAAACATCTCAATAAGTGACCCGCATTTCCATTCTCCAAATATAACTTGCAGCCTTGTCATTATCGCCGTACAAACTTCCCTAATTGCATTTGCTGTTCACCAACCGTCACTTGTCAAACACTTGTGAATGGGGTCAATATCCATTAGTTATGCTCCGAATGTTGCGATAATTCATATCTATTTGAAATGTGTATCTGCTCGTAGGTAGTTGATTGCAGCGGCGGCAGCAGCAGCAGCAGTTGCGTTTTATGTTTGCTTTCAATATTGCAAAACATTGGCAATCGCGCTGGTGCCAACCCCAGCAGCCCAGCTAAGCTCTAAAACTAAGCCAGAAACCGCCCAAGCTCTTTTATTTTAATGAAGACTAATGGTCTGGAGGTTGGCTAGGTGGGTATTAAGACCAACCAACCAGCCACCCAAGCAACCAATCATTATAACGGCCTATCATTCTTCAGCTTCAGCTGCCTGGGAGCTGTGGTAGCTGTGATTTACTTAAACAGAAAGAAAACAACAACAGAAAATAATTACCTGGATATTGCTGTGGCTTTGGATGTGGCAGCAATGAGTAGTGCGTTGCGTTGCTTGGCTGGGCTGGGCCTGGTTTGATGGTGTCTTTGCAGGAATCGTATGTTTTGGGGAAGGAAACTCGTTGTTGTTGTGGTTCTTCTACTTGTCGTCCTTATATCCTCTGGTGTTGTTGATGACGCTGCTCCTGCTGCTCCTACTGCTGCTGATGATGATGAGTTTCTTATGAATGTTTTTCACTGGAAAACCAACAGTAGCAACAACAACAAGGACACCAGTGTGGAAAAGCTAACAACATTTTCATTTTGAACGGCAACGTTGGGCTGCACCTTGTGGCAAATTTTGAACTTTCTACTCCTGTTCGACTCCTTGCTATCCTTATGACGTTAAGGGATATTGTAGCTGTTATTATCCCAGTTCCTGGGTGGGGGGATTGAAATTAAAATACCGGAAGGAAGGATGGAGCACGAAATATGCGTGAGTGGGGAGCGTGGGTTTGTATTTCTATATTAATTTGAGAGTTATTTTCTTATTTTGTTTTGCTTTTCTGTTGAGGGAAGAGAGAAGACAGCTTTAAGGTTTTATAGACGTCAATGATACACACACATGGTCACAAGGCGCAACCGAAAACAGCAAAAGGACACAGCACACAAAATCGATTTTTCACATTTGGTATTTGCCCACACGTGTGTTTCGCTGTGTGTGTGTGTGACCAACAATCTACACAACTACCATCGTTGTTAACACACTCTTCTTCTTAGTAGTCCTTTTTCGATTTGTTTTTCGGCTCCGTGTTGTTATTTTTTGATTTATATTTTGATTTTTTTTCTATTGTTGTTATTTTTAGAATTTGTTAAACGACGCCGTTTTTCTTTTGACTTTTTCCAAAAGACTTGTTTGACGTGTACGCGTTTCCAGCGTTGGCGTTTATTTTTCTTTCTCTTTTCACCGTTAAGCAACAATCTGAATTACAATGTGTGTGTACTATTTTTATTTCTTGATTTAATTGAATTTAATTAAATTTGATTAGAGCCTGGCCTGCTTGAGCTGTTGAATTGTAACACATTCTCCTAAACAGTGACGATAAGAAGTTTGAGTATGGATCTTTTGTGAAATTTTGGATTTTCTATGTAGCCACAAATTTCCTCAAATATATTCATTGAAAATATTCTTTACAATCCACGTTTATAGCCCTGATGGTCCCTTAAAAAATATTCTTTGAAAATCCATTCCCTCACAAAATATTCTTTCAAAATCAAAGTTTCTGGTCCCTCAAAAATATTCCTTGAAAATTCACTCCCTCACAAAATATTCTTTCAAAATCCACGTTTATAGCCCTCACGATCCCTTAAAAATATTCTTTCAAAATCCCTGATATCCTCAAAATCCACGTATAGACCCTCAAAAAATATATTTCAAAAATCCACGTTTATAGCCCTCACGATCCCTTAAAAATATTCTTTCAAAATCCCTGATATCCTCAAAATCCACGTATAGACCCTCAAAAAATATATTTCAAAAATCCACGTTTAGACCCTCAAAAAATATTTTTCAAAAATCCACGTTTAGACCCTCAAAAAATATTTTTCAAAAATCCACGTTTATAGCCCTCACGATCCCTTAAAAATATTCTTTCAAAATCCCTGATATCCTCAAAATCCACGTATAGACCCTCAAAAAATATATTTCAAAAATCCACGTTTATAGCCCTCACGATCCCTTAAAAATATTCTTTCAAAATCCCTGATATCCTCAAAATCCACGTATAGACCCTCAAAAAATATATTTCAAAAATCCACGTTTATAGCCCTCACGATCCCTTAAAAATATTCTTTCAAAATCCCTGATATCCTCAAAATCCACGTATAGACCCTCAAAAAATATATTTCAAAAATCCACGTTTAGACCCTCAAAAAATATTTTTCAAAAATCCACGTTTAGACCCTCAAAAAATATTTTTCAAAAATCCACGTTTCCAGCCCTGAGGGTATTTGGAAAAATATTCTTTAAAAAATCCACGTTTCCAGCCCTGAGGGTATTCGGAAAAATATTCTTTAAAAAATCCACGTTTCCAGCCCTGAGGGTATTTGGAAAAATATTCTTTAAAAAATCCACCTTTCCAGCCCTGAGGGTATTCGGAAAAATATTCTTTAAAAAATCCACGTTTCCAGCCCTGAGGGTATTTGGAAAAATATTCTTTAAAAAATCCACGTTTCCAGCCCTGAGGGTATTTGGAAAGATATTCTTTAAAAAATCCACGTTTCCAGCCCTGAGGGTATTTGAAAAATATTCTTTGAAAAATCCACGTTTCCAGCCCTGAGGGTATTTGGAAAAATATTCTTTAAAAAATCCACGTTTCCAGCCCTGAGGGTATTTGGAAAAATATTCTTTAAAAAATCCACGTTTCCAGCCCTGAGGGTATTTGGAAAAATATTCTTTAAAAAATCCACGTTTCCAGCCCTGAGGGTATTTGGAAAAATATTCTTTAAAAAATCCACGTTTCCAGCCCTGAGGGTATTTGGAAAAATATTCTTTAAAAAATCCACGTTTCCAGCCCTGAGGGTATTTGGAAAAATATTCTTTAAAAAATCCACGTTTCCAGCCCTGAGGGTATTTGGAAAAATATTCTTTAAAAAATCCACGTTTCCAGCCCTGAGGGTATTTGGAAAAATATTCTTTAAAAAATCCACGTTTCCAGCCCTGAGGGTATTTGGAAAAATATTCTTTAAAAAATCCACGTTTCCAGCCCTGAGGGTATTTGGAAAAATATTCTTTAAAAAATCCACGTTTCCAGCCCTGAGGGTATTTGGAAAAATATTCTTTAAAAAATCCACGTTTCCAGCCCTGAGGGTATTTGGAAAAATATTCTTTAAAAAATCCACGTTTCCAGCCCTGAGGGTATTTGGAAAAATATTCTTTAAAAAATCCACGTTTCCAGCCCTGAGGGTATTTGGAAAAATATTCTTTAAAAAATCCACGTTTCCAGCCCTGAGGGTATTTGGAAAAATATTCTTTAAAAAATCCACGTTTCCGGCCTTAGGGTTTTTGGAAAAATATTCTTTAAAACGTGTATATCCCTGACGGTTTATGTTTTAGCCACGTTTATAGCCCTGATTGTCCCTCAAAAAATAATCTCTAAATATCACGTTTATGGTCCTGATAGTCCCTCATGGTCCTTATGACCCTTAAAAAACATTCTTTGAAAATCCACGTTTCTAGCTCCGATGGTCCCTCAAGAATATTCTTTAAAAATACGCATTTCTAGCTCCCGGGGGGTTTCAAAAAATATTCTTTAAAAATCCACGTTTCTAGCTTGGAAGGACCTTCAAAAAATATTCTTTGAAAATCCACTCTTCTAGCTCCGATGGTCCTTCAAAAAATATTCTTTAAACATCCACACTCAAGGTTGGAAGGTCCTTCAAAAAATATTCTTTAAAAGTCCACATTTCTAGCTTGGAAGGGCCTGCAAAAAATATTCTTTAAAAATCCACGTTTCTAGCCTTGAAGGTCCTTTAAAAAATAAAAATCCGCATTTCTAGCTTGGAAGGTCCTGCAAAAAATATTTTTTAAAAATCCACATTTCTAGCTTAGAAGGTCCTGCAAAAAATATTTTTTAAAAATCCACGTTTCTAGCTTGGAAGGTCCTTCAAAAAATATTCTTTAAAAATCCTCGTTTCTAGCTTGGAAAAAATATTCTTTGAAAATCCACTTTTCTAGCTTGGAAGGTCCCTCAAAAATATTCTTAAAAAATCAAGTTTCTAGCTTGGAAGGTCCTTTAAAAACTATTCTTTAAAAATCCATGTTTCTTGCTGGGAAGGTCCTGCAAAAAATATTCTTTAAAAATCCTCGTTCCTGGCTTGAAAGGTCCTGCAAAAAATATTCTTTAAAATTCCACATTTCTAGCTTAGAAGATCCTTCAAAAAATATTCTTTAAAAATCCAAGTTTCTACCTTGGAAGGCCCTTCTTTGAAAGTCCACGTTTATGGATGGTCCCTCAAAAAACATTCTTTGAAAATCCACGTTTCTAGCTTGAAAGGTTCTGCAAAAAATATTCTTTAAACATCCACACTCCTAGGTTGGAAGGTCCTTCAAAAAATATTCTTTAAAAATCCACTTTTCTAGCTTGGAAGGGTCTTAAAAAAATATTCTTTGAAAATCCACTAATAATTCCCGTTTCTCTATTTCGGAACACTGTACGAATGTATAAGTTCAATATATTTTTCCTTCTTCAATATCTAAAATAAAAATGTCCTGCTAAGTAGACTTTTATTACCTACAATATTTTAATATTTATTATAATTTTATATATCGACGTACATACGTACATACATATCTACATACATGCGTATGTATATATATAGGCAGTACATAGATATTTCAGTACACGTAATATTTGGTTGGTGCAACAAAACTAGAACATATGTAAGGCACCAAAAAAAAAACACCTCCTTCACCTCTTTCTATACACACAAAGTGATTTTCTTCACTAATTTTCTTTCACTGCAATTGAGGATTTTTCTTATTCTTCTTGGGTAGCGGAACTTCCGGGTTATGCTATTAAGTTTCCGGTGGTGTTGCTGAAAGTTTGAAACGAAGGAGTGTGATGAGATCGTGTTGAATGGATGTTAGCTCTCTCGGTCGGTCGGTCGGTATTTTTTTTTTCAAAATACACAAGATTATTTGTTTTTGTTGCAGCACATTTAAGATAATTTTCTTCCATTTATTTTAATGGGGGAAAATTGGGAGGGCCATAGCAAAATTTTGGGTCTACGAAATTTAAGCTGTTTTTCTTGGCAAATTTTCTTTAAACGAAACACACACTTTTTCGGGTATCTATAAGATGCTTTTACATATATATATTTTTTTTCTTATATGTTTGTACACAAACACACGTACACGCACATACCTACATTTCTAAATACTTTGCCATAGAACGGCCCCGACACACGCACATGCACCGACAGACACCATGTGCAGGAAAAACCGAAATGTTGTCACACACAATTTTCACAAGACTTTTTTCTTTCTTCTTCTTTTTTATTTCTTTAAGATTTTATTTTTGATTTATAGGTATTTTCCATTTTTGTTGTTGTAGACACTTCCGAACATTTTGTGTGTGGGTTGAGGTGACGGTAGGCTTGCTTATTTGCACTATCCCGAAATATGTATCAAAAAAACATAGACCAAAATTTTTCTTTAAATTGGGAAATGACTTGTCAGAGACGTTTTCTTTTGGGTCGCAAGCGAAAAAATTTAAAGAAGTAAAAAAAAAAACGATTCGCCAACAACAAATCGACCAAGATGTTTAATTTTTTTGTATACGAAAGAAATTGTGTCGAGAAAGACGTGTTCGAACTCCAGAGTGAGTGGAGAGTTGAGGAGCAGCCGACCCAACTAACACGCTGTGATGATTGTCATTCGTGAGTGGTGTTTGTTTGTTATTTCACGGAGTGTTTATTTGTTTGAATTCGCTTTTAGTCGATTTGTCTGTTCGCCCGTTTTGTTGTTATTATTTATTATTTTTTTTTTTTTTGTGACTAAAATTGCTTGTTGTTGTCCGCCGTTAACGCTGCCGCACTTTCTTATTGGACCAAACAACCGTTTCGCTGTGTCTGACTTAACTAAACCGACTGACTCAAAAAATGAATGTATCTGCCAGATACATTTTGTGTCTGTGCACCTTTCTTTCTTCTGCTGTTTGGTTGTTGTTGGTTGGTTGACTGTTTGTTGTTGTTTCGGCCTCTCTGTCTCGATTTCGGCTCGTTTCATTTCGTTTCGTTTATGCGAAATTCAAAGCAAAACAAATAGAAATACTCATACGCCGCCTTTTGCTTGCACATGAATTGATTGACAACGACCACGCTCACATTACAATAATACAGTGGAGGGCATAAGTTAAGTAATATTTCTCATTGGAGCAAGTAGCTGCATATTTTTTAAGGGTTGCCATAATCGTTGTATTTTTTAAAGATTTATATTTCGAAGACCGTCAGGGCAAGAAACATAGATTTAAAGAAAGATTCAAATATCATCAGAGCTAGAGACGTGGATTTTTAAAGAATATTTTTTGAAGGACCCTCTAGACCAGAAACCTATATTTTTAAATAATATTTTTGAGGGACCTTTAGGGCC